TATTATAATACAAAGTTAATCTTCAGTCAGTTATGTGCCATGCATGATACATGCTTGACGAGGCAGATTTTTTTTCCCACAGTAGGTTGCCATTTCTTTCTGCAGTAGACCAGTTGCCATCCAAGGTTATAGAACCTAATCTGTCCTGCTATTTACCCATAGATTCATACCTTTCCCAAGGGTATTAGCATGTAAGTGAATGTAATGGATTCGACTGGAATTCAAACTCAGCTCTTTGATTCCTCAATCCGAGCCACTATCCATTACTCCACCGTACATCCTTAAGTTAATCTTACAATGCCATAATTAGGTTTTTATTATTTGTTAGTTCAATATTGCTACTTAAAAAGGCATTTGTCAGTGGATTTAATTAATTTGGTTCCTACTTCTTTTTATTGGTGTTATCTTTGCAAACTTTTCTCTGGGAAGACAAAGATCAGATTTTGAAATTGATACAAATATCTAATATTGGCAATTGATTAGTTACTAATTAATTTCAGTGACTCAAAAACTGTCAGAATTTTGGAATTGAATTCAAGAGATTAAATTTAAAAGATTGTATAAAACAAAATTTTGCTGTAATCTAAAATAATCAAAATCTCTTGCAAATTTAATTTTTAAAATGAAATAAAGACTATAGATTAATCTTTTTGAAAAAACTGTAGAATATAAATACTGAAGTACTTCTTGGCCTAACCAAAAATGCTCCCCCCATCAAAGTTCAGATTTTTGAAAGTGAGTCAGGCTTAGAACATTAAAGTACCTTCTCACACACACACACACACACACACATATATATGGTGTATTAAAGTTCTCAATCTTAAAAATTGTTTAATTTGTTAATTTATTAAATTAATTAAAAAAAAATTTATATCTTATTTTATATAACAAAGTAAATATTTATTAATATGTTTGCATTTCATTGTTTTTATTTAGCAATTTAGCCATTTATTTTGAGTTTTAAAGCTAATTATTTATAACTTTTCTTCTAAACATAATCTACAATTGCTGATGCCATTTTTTAAACATTTAAGTGATGTCACATTTTTCATGGAACAAATCTGAAATGTAATTTAAGTTAATGATTACAGTTGAAAAATTAATAAAATAAAATTAATATATATATATATATATATATATGTATGTATACTATACCTGAATATTCAAGAAATCTTGTTAGAAAAATATGTACCTTCTGGTGCATTTGAAGTAACTATATATATATATATATATATATATATATATATATATATATATATATATATATGAACTGGGATATTAGGATTATCTAATATGGATTAGAATATGATAGAATCTAACAACAATAGGATAAGGATAAATGTTTCCTATTTTGTTCCATATCCTATCATTTATATATATATATATATATATATATATATATATATATATCGATAATTAGTGGTTAATACACACACACACACACACATATATATATATATATATATATATATATATATATATATAAAAATATATAAATATATATACATACATACATACATACATATATATATAAAAATTTCTAAGAGGATAGAATCCAGGTAGAACTCAATGTCCAGGACAGAGTAAGAATATAATAAAAAGGCTTAAACACTCCATGGTTATAATTTATAAATTATAATTTATAATATTAGTTTATAATTTCCATGGTTATAATTTATATTATAATTTATAATATTATTTTATAATTTCCATGGTTATAATTAATTACATTGGAATTGTAATTACGATCCAATTCATCAGACCTACAAATTCAAATTTGAATTTGTAGGTCTGATGAATTGATCGTATTTACATTCCAATGTAATAAATTATAATCATGGAATATTAGTGTTTAAGTCTTTTTATATATATATATATATATATATATATATATATATATATATATATATATATATATATATATACACACTGCATGTGTGTGAACATTGCCAATGTACTTAATGCAATAGTAAATATTGATGACATATTTAGAGTGAACATTATACAATGAAAATTTCAGGTCAAAATTCAACTAATAATTACATGTCAGGCTGTAAACTTACTGATCCATATTTCTATATTATTAAATGTATTTTAGTGACTATTGTAAGTCAAATGCACCTCCAAAATAAATTTTAAACAAATTGCCTAAATTTAAGTAAAGATCTTGGAATTTTTTTGCCTAATCAAAAAATAGAATTTTCTATGCATTCAACATTCTTCTTCTACTGTTTTATCATTAACAAATATTTTTATTCTTATTTTGTGATATTTTCTCATTTTCAAAAAATGTAACACAGTCTTCTCACAAATTATGAGTAAGGTAATTTTCTACAGTTGCTTTTCTATCTACACTCAGTACGCTTAATATTTGTGTATGCCTACAACTAGATACAAACAATAGTATTTCTCTCAGATTGTATCTATTAAAATAAATAAAACTTCAAACATTTTGACAATCATTTATGAAAAGAGAAAGTAGGATTTGGGGTTAGGTTTTACTTTCTTTTTTCTTTTTCTTTTTTTCAGTTTTCTGAAAATGTGATAAGTAAGGAATGAATGACTAGAAATTTTGAAAGCCTAAATGAAGTCATTTTGAATTGACATTCTGAAAGAGAGAAACATCCACCAACCAATATGTGTTTGTGTGAAAGTTACAAACAACTGTCATTATCAAGTTTCTATCAAACTTAATCATTTTGTCTTCATTTGAATTTTCTCAAAATATTGATCATCTCGGTTTATTTTTCTGGCTGATTCAATGCAAATATTCTCTTTTTTTATTTTTGCTAACAGAACTGACTCTTCTGTTAGTTTTAACCAGTCAAGTTTTTCAGAAGAACTGCTTTGCCTGTCTCTGTAATTATGAGCTGCATTTTGGTTTCTTCTTTGTTTTCCTCTAGTTTCATTTACAAAAATAAAAAATTAAAAAATCCAAAATTTGGTCACAGTTTCAATATCTAGAAATGACAGTGCCCTCCATTTTAGATCTTTCTATAAAAAAATTATAGATATTTGGATCTGATAAAAGATTTTGAAATATTAGTCAAATCAAAATCTAATTAAACAAACTAAAACTTGATGGAAAAGTATTTAAAATTGATCCCTGTTAAGGTGAGGGGAAAAAAATAAATTTTAAATAAAAAAGAAACCTCTTTGCACCCCTATATATCATTATTTGGTAATGGGTAGGAAATTATTTCATCTATCACTTCAATTTCTTCCATAGATCATAAGAGGAAGCTTACTACAGACGTTTCTTCTTTTCATATCTCTAGGACTGTTCACCATTTTTAAGTAACAAATCAGTTACAATAAATCTTAATATTTATGGAACTCTTCAAAATATCATTTTAACTTGAGAAAAATCCTCATAGGGAATTTCCCAACACATAGCAGCCAATAGCACATTTTTTTTAAATTACAAGTAATGAAAAAAAGTTTTTTAAAGCTTTATATAGAATTTCATGAACACATTCATTTTTCCCCTCAATCAAAATGCAAGAAGAAAAAGTGCTACAAATCAATATATTATTAAAACAGTGTATCATATTTAGTAACTAATTTTCAAATTTGAAGAACTTAACCAATGTCCAGTTGAATATGAATGACATAAGTTGGCATTTTTTTAGTTTATGATAAAAAATATTTTTTTAAATAATTCAACAAGAAAATAATAGGCAATTCTTTTCCTTCATTGTACAAAAAGCTATAAAAAGTGTTTAAAGAACTTTGAATATATAAATAAATATATGTTCAAAATTCATTTTACAAATACATAAAAAATTAATTTGTAATATTGTTATGTCTCCATTTTACTTTACAAATTTTCTTTTGTGGTTACAAAGTTTTATTGGTCAGAAGATATTTTTTCAATTTTCATTTGTCTTCAACAAGGCAATGACAAATACATTTGCATATTTTTTCATTAATATTAGGTTGAGAAAATTTAACAGTTATATTTTTAATTAATGATTAACACTTTTCCAATGTTTTATGAGAAAAATTTTGAAAAATGTAAATTTTGGCCTTCTTTTTAATTCTTGTAATTCCTAGATTTGGAGTTACTATTTTATTTTATATTTGAGGTAATCTGAAATAAGTTGAACAGATTTCATTTCATTAAAAGGATTTGGAAATTCAATCGCATAATGTTTGCAATTATTATTTTCCAGATTTAAATCATTTTCAATAAATTATTATAAAGAAAATTATTTTCAAAATTTTGTGCCAATCCTTTTGCTTTCTTTTTTAAACTTGTTTGACTAGAGAATAAATTATTTCCTCCAATTTTCAATGAAAATAACTTATCTTCATTAATCAAATTTCTAAAATTTAAAAAGTGTTTTTGGGGAAACATTATAACTTTTATAACTGATTCTTTCTTGATTAAAACATTAAACAAAACACATTTTGATTTTCTTAACAACAAAGTCAAAACTTGTTTGCCATACGTTTATCCAAATGGACCAATTCAGATCAATTGCAATAATAAAATATTAGATTCATTCTTGCTCTTTCTGTCCATAACTGGAATGATATGGTCACTTGGAGGACAACAATATTTACCTGAAGGTGTGGATGTGGATATATATCTGTGTGTGTACGTGTTTAAAGGTATTTATAGTGACATATCCTCCCTAAGGAGCAGCAGGTTATTCCTCTTCCTCCACCTCTTCCTACCATCACTATTTATTATTATTATTATTATTATTATTATTATTATTATTATTAGCTCTCTAGTTATTCCCTGAATTATTCCCCAATTCCAGTAATGGCTTCTTCCAGTCTTCCCACAGCAAAGGCAATGTCCATATGAAATCATCAATTTACTAAATAGATTTTGTTTTAAAAAAAAAAAAAAATCTTCCTCTGGAAGAAAAAAGAAAAAAGAAGTCAAATCCGAATGCGACTGAGTGCATCTTGAATCCACAGCCCACCAGCCTCCTGGGGTGGTGGATCATAACACTTTTGTTTTACTTTTTCTTTTTCTGTTCCAGGAGATGCTGAGATTTGAAGTGGCAGAATTAGCCCATCAGGTAGACAGTACTCAAGTACTAGGCACTATTTTGAACATTGCCATATACTAACCCTCTAGGGCAGGGATGGGTGATGGCTGGTGGGGGGGAGGGACACTGCTCACACATCATGACTGGTGCGATTTGCTCTGTTATGCCCTAAGCAGGAACTGTCCACATTCTCAACTCAAAAAAAAAAACAACACTAAAAATTTTCAACAAGTCTTCATCATTTGATTTGTCAAATGGAAATTTCTTAAAATTTGCTGTTTTTGGTTCTTTTAAATGTACATAAGTTGCAAATCAGTCATTGGACTGTTTTGTACTAAGAAAAGTATATTAAAGTCAAAAAAGAAAATCAATTCTTAATAAAATTCTAAATTGTTTAATTGATAAATTGTATTTAAAAAAAAGTAAAACTCTTAAGTTAAGGATATTTTTCCTTTTTTCACAAGTTTCAGAAATATTAAATAAAAATTACTAATTTAGAACAGTGATAAAATCATTTTTTCATTGACGATAGTTTGATTCATTATTCAATCTTTGTTTGTATAATCCTTTTTCTTTCAAAATGGAAGAAAAAGAAAATGTCAAGATAAACAAAAAGATTTTTACAGCCTTGCCTTATAGTGAAAATAGTTGTTTATTTCTCACCAGTATCAAAGGTCAATGTTTGGACCAAAGTAAAAACCAAGATTTACATTGCTGATTTTCAAAACAGACATGTCCCCCCAACTTTAACGATTAACACAATACAGTCTTCTTACTCCTATTTGACTTCCTGCCATACTTAAAATAGACTTTCTACAAATATTAAATACTTAAAAATGACTACTACTAGCTTTAAAGGACATTTTACAAAAAAAAAAGTTAAAATTTGTCTATCCTAGTTAAAAGTTTTGAAATATTTTCAAGTGATTGTAATAATGTGTTAAATAGATAACAATAAATAAAACTTTAAGAGTATTAGAAAAGGCCAGAGAAAACATTAGCCTTTTTTATTATAACAAATGTCAAAAAGAAAAAATCATCATTCCAGGATTTTGCCAAACCCACTAAAATTAATCATTCATTTTTGAAACAATTCAAAATTCATCACCACAATATGATAAATATGATAATTTACTGTTTTGATGCCAAAAACAATTCTACAAAATTTGCATGGGTTGAAATTATATTTTGCAACTTTTTTCCAAGAATTGATAAACATTTTAGGTTTTACATTGCTGTCTGTGTGTTTCTACTTTGCTAAAGTTTTTGTTTTCCTTTCTTCATAACTCTTATGATCAGATCAGAGTCCTCAAGTCTTAAGTACAATTTTAATATAGTTAAATTGATGGATATATCATTTGTTCTTAAACACTTGATGCTAGTTGTCATCTAAATGGGTATAAGGCAAAATGGGTATATTGTACACATTTATAGGCACATTGCTCTCAACTAAATCTTCTTTAGTTGATAACCCTGGAAGTCAGCACAGTTTTAAAATTGTAATATTATAACCAATAATGCCACCAGACTTTGTCGATTCACTTAATGCATATGGCTTCAAATATGACTGTCACAACCAAATGGATATACTTTCTGTTTGGTTTTGGAGTTTTGTAACAAATCTTCTTTTCTCTTCAGTTTTTCATTCCCAACTTCTTCAGCTACTTTGTGATGGAAACTGTGAAGTTCAGTGTTATATAAGGAGACATTTCTTCAGCATTCAGATTTTCCTGCTCTGTTTTCCTAACTTTTCAAAGAGAACTCCATTAATACACACTGTTAGATTTTATTATACAAGTTAATGTCTTCCCAATAAAATTACTATCAACCAGCCAATAATGATAAAATTGTCAGAATATACTTATATTTTTATGATAAATATACTACACAATTTCAGCTTATAATATCTATTTGGTGGTGTGAGATTTTATTATATAACTCAAGGATTGCTCTGCTTATTGTAAATATAGTAGTATAGTTATTGATATTTATTTTTTAATTTCAGATATATAGACATTGTCATGGGTGTATTAAAAAGATATAACCTCAAAAAGAAACAAATTATTGTAAAGTTGCTGAATGATAGAAATTCAACATTGGAAAATGCAAACTGTTGAATAGAAATCAAAGAATAATCAAAAAAGAAATTGAAAAATCATTGACAAGATAAGAACAAGAAATTGAGAAAAAAAAATAATCAAGAAAAATGGATTGGCTAGCAAGAAAATATTTGAAGATGTTCTTACAAATGTAAACTGAAAGAAAATATACAAAATATTAAGAACATTGACTAAAGCCACAAAAGCAACCAAGCTATCATCTTTAAGTAAACATCACAAAGGGAAATGTATAAGTTGGGCAAGTAGTACATGAAAACTGATTTCTGAACAGCAATTTTTATCAATGAATGTAAAACAATATTGGATGTCCTTGATGGCTGAGCAAGAGACTGTATCTTTCCTAAAATACTCAACCAACATGACTTAGAAGACAGGGGATGTTAAGTAATGTATTTGGCTAGTATTGTCAGCAATAAAAGTTATCAGCCCTTTAAAAGTTGGACAGAATTTGAGTTAAGTGATACTGGTCACAATCAAGAAGATTAAAGTAACAAGTGCATTTCAGCAAAAATTGCTCCTTCACATTCTGAAAAGCTGACTATTGCTCACCTTGCCAAAAAACATTAGAATGGAATGGGTGCAGCCTATCTAAAACATTAATCCAGTAGAAAACTGTGATCCATCATTAAAAGAGATGTATATAAGAAAGAAAAACAAAATTCAAGCAAAGTAAAAGTTCCATGAAATAATAAAGTCAAAACAGTAGAAAACTTAACAAAATCAATGATTGAAAGACTGATGAAGATTGTAGAATTATTACCATGCAAAATAATAAAATAATTTATTTAAATATATGGGATATTGTATTAATGAAATATATGTTTCTCTGGCTAATATCTTTTGAATTTATTTATAAATAAAAAATGTTTGGTAAAGTTTAACATTTGATAGTGCAATGACTCCCTTGGCAAGTTTTATTGTTTTAAAAAAATTAGAATTTTAATAAAATCCAAACATATGACACAGGATTCATTCATTCTGTTTTTTCTTGAAAATTGACAACAAAATTATTAAACTCTATTCTTGTAAATAAACAGTCTAACAAATAGTGTTCAATATTTTTGTTGTCAATTCTCAAGAAAAAATGTATAAATCCAGATGTTCACAAAGAATTCTAATGAATTTTTGTGGCAAGAGGAAATGAAAAAAATGCCTGGAAAAATGCATTTATTTAAATTTTAGAATTACAGTTACTTGTGGCTATGAGTTTATTTAAATATTCCTGTTCTCTTGTTCACAGACATTTTTATAAATTTATGAATGATTTTTTTTCATAGTTATTTCTTTATAATATGGGAAATAATAAATATTACATTGTAGTTGATTCACCTATTTTTATAAACTTGTAAATGTAAAATTATTCTTGTAAATAAGCAATATAATAAAATAAGCAGTGCTTAATTTTTTTGTTGTCAGTTCTCAAGAAAAAGAGAATGAATAAATCCAGTTTCATATGTTTGGGTTTTATCAAAATTATAAAAATGGCTTTTTAAAACAATTACTTTAAACAGAAGATATGAAACAAACAGCTTGAGTATGAACATTTTAACAAACTATTATGAATGTTGCAATATTTCTTACCACTTGCCAATGAGAGTATGAATAAACAAATCCACAAAATATTTTAAAGCTTCATTCAAAGCTGAGAAAACATGTACATAATCTCCATTTACAGTTCATAAACAAACAACATATAAGAAAAAAATCAAAGATTTTGATTTCTTCACTACAAGAGGTAAAAAACAGAAATAAAATTGTTTAGAGTTCACTTTTCATTTCATCTCTTTGAGAACCTGCGGTATTTAAAGATGATATAAAGATGTAAAAGAAACAAAAACCAAGGTATTTGAAGATGGAGACAAAAACTGAGGTATTTGAAGATGGAGACAAAAACTGAGGTATTTGAAGATGGGGACAAAAACTGACGTATTTGAAGATAAAAAATTATAAAGTGCGACTTCTGAAGATGAGATCAAAAGTAAACAAAAAAAGAAACAACAGACTTAAAGATGAGCTCAACATCAAAAAAACAAAATCCAAGGCTTTGGTGATGAGGAGAAAGACAAAGAAACAAAAAAGGTATTTAAAAATGAGAACAAAGTTAAAGAAAAAAGAAATGGGGACATTTGAAGATGAAATTCAAAGGAAGAAAAATCATGATACTGAATTTGCAAAGTAACAAAATCTTGTGTACTTGAAGGTAAGATCAAAGTAAAAAAAAAAAAAAAAAAAAAAAGACATTTGAAGATTAAATCAAAAGAAGATTTGAAGATAAAACAATACATTTGAAAACAATATCAAAATCATAGAAACAAAACCAAGGAGTTGGTAATGAGTCTTAAATTAAAGAAACAAAAACCAAGGTATTTGAAGATGAAATCAAAGGCAAAAAGTAAAAACTAAAACAAATGATATTGGAATCAATGGCAAAGAAATAAAAGTGAGGTTTTTGAAGAGAATATTTAATGTCATGAAATTCAAACAAAAAAATGATGAGATCAAATTGAAAGAAACAAAATGTTTGAAGATAAGTTCAAAGTTAATGAAATAAAAAACAAAGTCTCTGACGATGAGAACAAATGCAAAGAAAGAAAAATCAGGATTTTTGGAGCTAAGATTGAAATCAGAGAAATAAAAGCTAAATCATTTCAAGATGAGATCAACTTAAAAAATGAAATCAAAATCAACAAAATAAAACTGTTGAAACTCAAGCTTTGTGGAGATGTAAAATGATGTAAACTTTTATCTTTAAAGTGATTCAATTAATTTATATTTTATAAAATCTTAATTAAAATCTTACTTTTTTACCCCAAAAAGTCAAAACATATTACTTTACTTCTAAAACTTTTAGTGAAGTAAAGGAACTAGTTAAAGAAATCTCTCTATATTGGGAAATTCTTCCAAATATCA